ACTGATGCTGCATGCGGTAGTAGAGCTCGAGTTCACGATGTTGCTGTGCCTTCGTGAGGGCGTTTGCTAACTGGGCTTCTGAATGCACCCACCTCATGATCACCCCGGTGGCCTCCTGTGCTTCCTTGAGTCCCATCAACTCAATGTTGGCCTTCTTCTCTGCTCCGTTCACGCTGAACATGGCCGTCGAGAGCTTGTCATAGACGTTCCGAGAGTCTGTGATGACATACCCTGGCACCTTGCTCACCGTCTTGTTCGGACGCCGAAGGTCAACCTTTCCGTGGACCATCTCGCTCCACTGGTAGCGCACGTAGTAGAGCATATCTTCGCCGTTCACGGCCGCTGCTGTTTCGGCAGCTCCTGGGCTGCGACACACTCGATCGATCCTCGTCGAGTGCCAGCTAATTGGACTAATCGCTGCTACGTCCCCCTGCTGAAGTCCTTGACCCGAAGCCCCAATCAGAATCCCTTGAGTACTCCCTCCGTCTATTCTATTCTGACTAGCGGCGTCTACCCAAGCGAAGAAGTGCATCTCTCCCTCCTGACGAGTGATCAACATCTTATGGTCCTTGCGGGCTTTGGTGTGTTCGAGGAGGAGGTTCGCTCGTATCAAGGTTTCCACAGTTGATTGATTCACCTCAGACAACATGAGACCTACTTCTGCTGAGACGTGTGGTGCTACTTGTTGCGCGTGCCAGCTCAATCCGCCAAGAAGTCCTCGGAGCTTTGACTTCTCGTGATCGGTAGTGGGGGTCTTTCTCATGGTTCGCCGAGATGAACTGATGTTGATGGCCTCGATGCCCTCTGCATACTTCGGTTGAGACAGTACAAACCCTGAGTCTGTGGCCTCAATCTGTACCCCGCATTGAACGAAGCTGTCCTTATCCCAATCGCCCCACTTAAAGTGCTCACGGATTTGCAACAGGATACCTTGCCACTCAGCATCGTCATCAGAACCCCCGAAGAGAAAATCATCCACATGCCCTGCTATCATGCCCCGCACAACCCCGTCTTTGCGCCACATCCACGCACACGAGTCTGACCACAACTTCTCTAAGCCTAGGCTTGCAAAGAACGTTGCCACTGTCTTGTACCATTCGAGGGGAGCGTCCACGAGTCCGTAGCAAGCTTTCCTCAGTCTCGTAATGGACCCTGGGTTGATACCCATGGCCTGGCATATTTCATCGCAGGGAACACAGTAAAGCTCCGTTGGATAGGTTCTACCCTGCAAAAATGCCCCACTCACATCGCCTTTCATGAGCCTCCAGCGTTTGTTCGCTGCGAGTTGCAGCATCAGTTGTCGCGTCTGTCTGGTCATTACTGGTGCCGTTGTTGCTCGGTGTTCATAGCCCGGGTCCTGATATCCTAAAAGCACTGCACGCGCCTTTGGTTTGACACTCCCATCTTCTTTTACCTTCCAGGTCAGTATCCATCTCATACCCACAGCTTGTTCACGATTGGGCTTGAGGTTCTCCGGTAAGGCTTCGAAGGCCTGGGCCGCGATGAAGTTCTTCACCTCGATCCCCTTTGCCTCTTGAAATCGTTCTCGGTCGGCTGGCGAGAGTCGGCGTTCACTCACCTCTACCGCCTTTCTTTTTAGAGCACCCACGAAGTAGCTTTGCATATCCCGGGTCATAGAGTCCAGGCCGCGTCGGCTCTCTGGCACTGCCACTTCCACTTCCACGGCCGCTCCACTGTCGGTCCAAAAACAGGTTTGTTCAGCCACCCAGGCGGATTGCCGTACTTCGTCCCGCCAATGGCTCGCCTGCGTATGTAGCCCTTGTTGTGGTTCTTGGGGTTCCACTCGTCGTAGTGAACTTGGCTGACTGGTGCCTGATTCCAGATCCTCGGGCATCTCTTGGTCACCTGGACTTATCTCGGTCTGCGGCCGCTTGGCCACAATGCGATATCGTCGAGGTGGGGCTTCTTGTGTCGGGTCCTGAGCCCGGGCCCATTCCTCTGCTGTAGGAATCTCGTGGGACACATCCTGGTACTGATTCCCACCAACCTCCTCGGCGAGACGTGTGAACGTCCAGGGTGTGGCCTCCTTTTCCGATAAGGCCTCAATCAGCTCCTCTCTCTGACTGGCCAAGCGTAGCTGTTCCGGGCTGCACTTGATGAGGCTCCGGCCGCGCACGCACCAGATTGCGTGGGCCGGTCGTCGCTGTCCTGCTTCATCTTTTCGGGTCTCCATGGCTAAGACCCGTGCCGGCCCGAGGAACCGACCCTGGTTAGTTCCAGGTTGCTTCTTGCTCTTGTTAGATTCTTGCGTACGCCAGAAATACACCAGATCTCCCGGATAGTAGATGTTATCGGGTCTGGTCCGGGAATTCAATGCACGTTGTATTCGCTGCTGGGCATTCCACTCTGCCAAGGACTTTTCGGCTTCAGCTCGCAGTCTTGCCTCTCTTTTGAATTCCTCGGCCGGGTTGTTGAGGACTGGTTCCTGTTCTCGTCCTTCAGGTAGCCGCACGTAGCTTCCGGTTGTGTCGGGGTTCACTCCCAACACATGTTGTGTAGGAGAAAAACCTCGGACCAGGTCCCTTTGATTGAACGTGGCCACCGCAACACTCAACAGTTCCTCTGCACTTGTCTCTCTCTCGGCCTGCACGGTCTTCGACATCAACTGCTTGATTCCTTGGATGGCCTGTTCGGCCACCCCGATTTGCCAGTGAGCTTCGCCCGGAATAATGTCGAGGTAGATCTATCGCAAAACCCTTCTACAGACCCTGCTCTAAAACTGCCTGCGGGATCGAGCCTCATCGTCTTCGGGCTCCCGAAATGTTGAATCCAGCCTTCCGTCAGGAAGTTGAGGCACAGGGCCGCGCTAGGTGCTTGAGCTTTACCTTTCGTGAGGATTCGGGCGACTCTATATCTAGATCCTTCATCCACGATCACCATGAAGTTCTGTTGCTCTCCCGTGGTGGGATGAGTCCAGTGTCCCACATCCGCCGTGATTGTGTGAAATTTAGGAGGCAGGGGCTCAAGGGAGGCCACTTGTCGAGGCTGCACTCTACGCTTTTCTTCACAAACCGAACAGCGAAACTGCCTAGCGAGTTCCAGAACTTTGGGGTCAGCATTACGTCGCTTCAGAGCCTCTACCATGGTGCGAGTGCTTCCATGTCCTGTAGCTGCATGGAGGAGATAGAGCTTTCGCTTGATAGCTTCATCTTCCTTGTTGGACTGCTTCTTCAGGGGCCCGCTCCATGGGCCACGATCCTTGAGTACGTAGGCTTGGTTGTCAACACTCCCTGGGGGTCCGGGAAACCCAAGACTCTGCAAGTGCCTCTGAACTTCCCTTCCCACTTTAGGCCACCCCCTGCTACTGTACGCACTCAAAGTCACCCTGTTGCCCTTCCACTCTTGCGTAGCATGCCATTTCCTACCGTCAAACTGAACCACCTGTTGCCTGACACACACCTCACGGCCTTTCCTCATGTGATCCCCGCACTTCCGACGAACTCCCTTTTGATCCGCCTTCTCAAGTTCACCATCCGAACTCTCGACCCATAACTCTCCTCCTTGGTACGATCCTATCCCCATGATGTAGTTGGTCGTTCCGGGAAGGTTGTGAACATCTCGGTGAGGTTCCAGGTGACAGTTATCGTTAACGACGAACGACGTACAGTGGAGTTCTTCGGGGCTCCAATGCCTCAGGTAGGACAGGATGTACCTAGTGACCTCGGGAAACATTTGAGTGTGCTTGGTAACTCCGTACTGGTTGCCATAGGAGTACAGTCCAAAAGCGAGATAACGGGCTTGTTTCTCCTTGATGGGGCCTCGGTGTTTGGGGCTGGGTTTGTAAGGAAGTTGTTCGAGGATTTGTTCCATGGCTTGGTGTTGATAGTTTTTCGCCTCTAGAAGCTTCCGGGCTTGCGCTTCGAGATCGTTCTTGAAGCTCGCATCCACTACTTCCGCCTCCGCACTGTTTGCCAGCGGGTTTCCGAAACACTCCAATCCTCCAAGTTCCGAAAAACCCTCAGAAGACTCCAAAACCTCCGAAACCAAGGACTCTTCACAAGGAACATCATCCTTCCCCTTGAGGCAACACGCACAATCAACAACCAACCTCGCTCCTTTAGCCTCTCCACACGTGCAGAACTCTCCCTCCCCAAAGCCCTCAAGTAGCTGAGTCATCCCCGCGCACTCCTGAATCGTCTTCTGGTGGGAAAGCTCTTGGCACAGCAGACGACTGACCCGGTTTGCATACTCGGTGGTATACTGATCTTGCTCAGAGGTCCTCAACCCAAGACAGCTACCGTGTTTATACTGTCGTCCGCACCTGCATGGGAGATTCATGCTTTGAGCCAGTCGGGAGTGGGTGGTTGCAAGGCGCCAACCTTTTTGGATAAGTTGTTGATTCCTGGGATCTCTAAAGTTCACACAGCAGCCTTTAGTTACTGAGGACAGGAGGCCTTGTTTGGTGAACAACTGCTGACACACTGGAAGTCTCCAGGCCTGGCTTCGCTCGGGCATCTCTACAGTCACGTGTATTCCTAACTGGATACAGAGGTTCACCACGCATGACATGCCTACCAAACCTCGGAGTTCTTGCTGCCTTTGTTCCAGAATTTGAGCCTTTTGTTCAGGACTCTTATTGTTCAGGTTTTGGAGAGCTGAGTAGGAATCGCACATAGGTGACATCCACACATGTTGGGGTCTTTCGAGCCTTATCCTATCGAGTTGGAGTCTCAGGCCTTCCGACCTACCTAAATCACAGGAGTTCCAACGTCCACAGTGCACCGCCGCTTCCTCCTTTTCGGAAAGCTCTCGAACCTTGTTCGCCAAGGTGCCACGGGATCGGTTCCCGCATTCCATCAAAACAGGTCGATTATACCCTGTCAAGGCCTGAAAAATCTCTGGCAACACATTGAATGACTGCTCTTCAAGACTACGAGCCCTCTGCAGACCCAGTCTCCTATCTTCACCCTCGCTAGAACCCTGACCTGCTCGACCCTCAGTGTCCTCGGCCTCGCTCACTGTGGTGGCTGAGGAGTCACCTGCACGAAGGACCTGTCCGTCATGCTGTCCTCGTCGGCATACCCAGCTTGCTTGCGCCGAGGTTCCGCCTTCATGGACTCGAGCTCGTCCTTCAACTTGTGGATCATCTCCGCCATCTCGTCCATCTTCTTCGTCTGGTCGGCCACCACTTCGGGAGACGAGGTTGTGGATTCCGAGGGATCGTTCTTGGGCTTCAGAAAGGCCTTGGTGGCAGCTTTGGCGGGGGTCTTGGCGATCGTCCTCCCCGTCATCCAAGGTGCCTCCATGCTCGAGCTTCCTCGGGCATGCATCGTCGAACTCCCGGTCTGTAGTCGCGGCTCCAGCCACCCCGCGAGGCGTCGTAGGCGCGGATCGCTCGTGGATGGATTCTCTCCGGCCGTTTGAACAACCCATTCCCCGTAGCCCCGGAGTTCGTCCAGCATCTCGTGGTAGCGCCGGTCCACATGCTTCCCAAAGCCCACCACATCCATACCCTCGGGCGGTGTGTTGGCCAGGATCTTGTTCATCGCCTTCATCTCGAGCTGCGGCTTCGTCTCGTTCCCGGTGAGGGTCATCTCCAATTCCTGCTCGCAGAACACGATGAGGTTCGCCTTGTTCTTGCTTGCCTTCCTCATCTCGCGAGTGATGTTCTGGAGGGCCGTGGCATTGGAGGTCTTCTTGTGTGCCTCCTCCTCCTCTTGGCCCTGGAGCTCGAGGAGACGCTGACGAATCTCCACCTTGGTCCAGCCGGGCGCCGGATGTTCCTGGTACTTGCGAAGTTCCGCCACAAGCTCGGCCTTGGTCTTGCGGTACATGGCGGGCTCGGTGGCGAGAAGTTGGAGCTGTAGAGCCTGAAGTTCGGTTTGAAGCTGAATGGCCTCCAGAGGATTCGCTTTTGGACTCCTGTGGTCTGCCCTGGTAACAGCATACTTCGTCACTGGGAGAAGCAAATGACACCCCACACTCACTTCTACGCGTGACACACACATGCAATTCCTGATCTCTGCATCTGCTACTGGGGATCGCTCTACGGATCCTTCCCCATGTCCCGTAACTTCTTGGACCTCCGTTTTCTCCACGGGACTGGAGTCACGGAGGAGCTGTCCCTAATCGTCGCTCGCAGCATCTGATGCCACAAACGTTTCAAGACTCGGAACGGCTTGCTTTGTACACAAAGACCCTCTGTACCAGTCTTCTGTCATGTCCAACAGCTGATGACCCGTAGCAGAGCGCTCGGCCCGGATCAAACGAGTAGGGTCTAAGGCACGAAAACAAATTAAATCACTTGAAAAATCGACTATAGCTCCCAAGTTCCTCAAGGTCTCCACAGAAAGAAGTAGGGGTCCACTGCCATGGTCAAGGCAATGTACCTTCAGCTTGCCGGACTGGTTGTTCGCAAGTATCTGAAGGTGGGCAGTTGACGCGCACTGGTTCTCGGAACTGTTGCCGAAGCCAAACACGGGTCGCTCCAGCATATCCAAGGTGGCGAGGCCGGTCTTGCCCCTCTTTCCTTGGTTGATTTGCATGATCGCTTCCATCGCCTCTATGGATGCCAAAGTCCGAGTGGCACCACCGTCGACCACGGCCTTCCCCTGGCGCACCGCGTCCGTCGTGGTGAGCACTCCCATGGCGTAGGCGTCGATGAGGTTCGTGGCGCAATCGTTGAAGCAGATGAACGAGGATGTTGCCTCAGGCGTCGTGGTTGCTTGTGCCGACGCTGCCGGCGGGTGCGGGCAGTTGGCCACCCGGTGGCCCACTTTTCCACAGCGAAGGCAGGTCATATTCGAATCGTCCTTGGTGCCTGTGCTCTGGCCCCGGCCACGGCCTGCACCTTTGCTGCTGGTCTTGTAGTACTGGCGAGAAAGGCGCACTTCGTGCTGCCGAGCTCTTGCATCTCGCAACGTCCTTTTGGCCTGGTGCATGGCGGCCATGGCGCCCTGCACTTCTTCTTCTTGTACATCCCATTCAGCTCGACCCTCATCGTCAAGCTGCTCGTAGACGTCCGGGTAGTCGGGTTCCTCATTCTCCTCTGCCTCAAGTTCGTCATTGTGGTAGTACCCGAAATAGCCACTTTGCCGATGCCCTGATTCTCTTTTCAACAGCTCGCTCCCTGACCACTGGTTGCGTAGTTCCTGTGCCACCTTTTGAAGAGAAAAATCTCCCTGCAAGGCCGTTTGTACAACGTTGCGTTCTTGTGTGGTCAAGCCGGCGTCGTTGAGAAGGTACCATCCTTGTACATAATCAGGAAGTAGTTCAGGCATCGCCGCCTCGGGTACTGTGTCCTGGTCTGGGCTGCTCCACCAGCCGGGACTGTAGTACCACCATGAATCATAGCTACCACTCCCCCATGACTGCCAAGAGGAGTATCGATCCCAGACTCTTGTCCCCTGAGTCCAGGAAGATGCCTCTTCTCTTGCGTGCCCCTCGTCATCCTCCTGCGCCTCGTTGGTCGCTGCTGTTGGCGCGGCACTCTGAATGTCGGACCGGGCCTCGGTGAGGTTGTAGTCGGTGGAGTCTATGCTGCTCCGACGAGAGCCGGTCCACCAAGGTTCCCTGCTATCCGAGGAAGTCCGAGCTGGGAGTCCGGGCCTCGGGGCCGCGTGATGAGGCGCCACTCGCCTCAAAGCTTGTTGTGCTCGCAGGTAGACTTCACATTTTCTGGTCACGTAGTCGTTGATCGTCTCCTGCGGTCGACGGCGGCTGTGCTTGAAGTACTTATTCAAGAACTCGCTGAGCTCGGAGATTTGGGGTTTGCCTAGACATGCACGTAGGTGGCGTAGTATCTCCTGTACACCACCATTGTAGGATATCCACGTAGGTCCCTTCCCTGTAACCAAACGTCTCGCTGCTCCCGTCAGTTCTGCAACTATCTTCGGGCCACAGAGATAGCGTTTCTCTTTGGCTACAGACTGTTCGTGCATGAGACAGGCTTCTTCGAAGTCATTGAAGGTCCCCGCCTCACCGTCCCAGATCGGCACGCCGTCCTTAGTCCGGTTGCTGGCTCCACCTGCACTTGCAGACATTGAATCTGTCGGGGGCGAACACCCGCAGACTGGTCCCTGGATCTTTCGGCTTTTCGAGCTCAACAGAGCTCCGCTACCATGAATGCCTCAAAGTCGGAGGTGGTAGCCACGGTGCACAAGCTTTGAGGTCGTTCAGGCTTTCAGGAGTTGTGACGGCTGGGCACGGCGAGCGGTGCGAGCATACACTCCAATCTAACCTTTTGAGACCAAGATGCTGCGCATCCGAGCGTTCGGGAGTAGCAGCACAAGTGTTTCACTTGCAGGGTTTAGGGTTTAGGGTGTAGGCATGGAAAGGGGGTTCTTCAGGGTGTCGCCGGTCATGCGGGGTTTCGCGTCTGGGGCTGGGGGGTTCAGGATTTGGGGGGGGAATCTCCCTGAAACCCGAACTACAGAAGCCTAAATGATTACCAATATTATTCCTTAGGGTTCTTTTCTTTATGATAGTTGCCCAAAGGCTCCTTAGTAGTTCCTTTTAGGGATTACCTTCTAGGATCCTAAATACAAACCACAAAAAGGGAGCCTATGGGTGTACTATACAAAGTACCCCAAAAAAACGATTCTAACTATTAAGGCCCCTTACATTAACCCCAAGACCCCACGCTGTCAGACTCGACGTCCCGAGCTTGTGATTCTGAGCTTGTTCTCTAAATTGGGGTCCCTTTTAGGGGCTTAGGATTTAGGGTTTAGGGTAGGGTCCTTTTTATAAGGGTGCCGTACTATATTGGGGGCCCCCAAACTGGAACCTGATTTAGAGAACCATCCTTGTGTTGTGTCGGCTTCTTGGACTTCTGAGACTGCCCAGAGCATACGAGCTACCGGCGAAAGGGCTCGAAACGCCGAAAGACGGGCAGGTGCTGTAGCTGTAGGATCCAGAGTGGTCCGTTCAGTCTAGGGGTTGAGGTCTTGACAGACTTTGTGGAGTTCCTGTATGAGGGTACTTCGGAGTCTTTTTCGCCTTGAATTGGTTTTCGACCCGCAACATCGTCGGGGGAACGATGCAATGTTGGGGTTGGCCGCAGCAGGCGTGCTCAGGCCAGCCCTGTTTCGCAATCGGCCTATACAATCCCCAGTATGGGCCGTACCTCAAAGGAGGCTGGCACGAGATGATCACTTCAGCAGCCTTGGCCTGCAGCCAATCGCTCTCACCAAACGATCCACTTTGATGAGAGTTTGGAGGATTTGGATGAGCCTGGTTCAGACCACTGGATTTCGTGGCGACCATGGGTTGCAGCAGATGGCCACCCAGGTGACCTTGACCTACAGAGGAAACGAAAATGTTGATGATGGCCTGCTGCCAACAATACTGAGGAGCGGAGGGCCTCGTTCCTGAAGAGCCTGCCGTCCCTGCGGGGTTTAGGATTTAGGCCAAGTTTAGGGTTTAGGGTTTAGGCCAAGTGTAAGGTTTGGGGTTTAGGGCTTAGGGCCTAATTGGGGGAATGCTTACCCAAACCTTAGTCGTAATTACCACTCTAGAAACCCTACTTTCTACATATAGGCACCCTTTGGGAAAGACCCAGAAAAGTCATGCACAGACCCTAAACCCCCTAAACCCTAAACCCTGAACCCTATAAGCCCTATAAACCCTAAACCCTAAACCCTACAAGCCCTACAAGCCCTACAAGCCCTAAACCCTAACCCCTAAACGCTAAAAGCCCTAAACCCCCTAAACAGGTTCGGCATGGAGGTGCGCGTGCAGCTGATGGAGGCCCGGTCAATTAGCGCACGCAAAAGGCGAATAGGCTCCATAGTAGTTCCTTTTTGTGGTTTGTATTTAGGATCCTATAGGGTAATCCCAAAAAGGAACTACTATGGAGCCTATGGGTATACTGCGGTCGATACACAGGGTCCTAGGTACTGTTATGGGGGAAGGGCTGAGGGTTTAGGGTTTAGGGTTTGGGGCTTAGGGTTTGATGATAGGAATCCTGCATTACCCATTGTAAGGAATATACCATAATTCCCATGGTTTAGGGTCCTTAAGGTGATGCAGGATTTATATCATCAACAGTAGGTACTGTTATGTGGGATACTTCCCCCAAACCAGAATAATGATTTCCGGTTGGAACTGAGACCCTACATACATTCGATTCTACAGCTACTTAGGGCCGATTGGGGGCGCGAGGTGGTTCTGCGCCCGCCGTGGTTTAAGCCATGAATGAGGCTCATGATCCCGAAGCTTACTCCAAGCCTGCATCAGCCGCTGCCGGGACAGCAGGGTTCTTTTGGGGTGTTATCTGCTGTAGGGCTGGCATTGCATGGGGGTTAGTGGGACTTTGGATATACGGGCCGTAGTTTTTGGAGGCTATTATGATATAAGCATACAGAAACCACGAGGGGAGATGGTTGCGTAATCGATATTCAGACCTCTGCGTGGTGCTTTGGGGTCAACTGGTTCGGCGGGAGTTTTAGCGTTGAGAATGTGGAGTTCGCGGTTTCAACTTAAGGCCTCTATCTATCTGTCTATCTACCTATTAATATTTCTGTAGTTATTCCTTTCGTTCTTTTTGTATCGTTTCAATATTTCGACTTTTCTATCTATCTCGAAACATACATACTTACATACATACATACATACATACATACATACATACATGGATGTATGTACGTATGTATGTATGTATGTATGTATGTATGTATGTATGTATGTATGTACGTAGGTATGTATGTATGTATGCATGTATGTATGTATGTATGTATGTATGTATGTGTTTGTATATATGTCTGTATGTATGTACGTATGCATGTCTGTGTTGTGTGTGTGTCTGTGTGTCTGTGTGTCTGTCTGTC